GGATAGCTCACCTGTTGCCTTCCCAAAAGCATCAGAAAACAGGATATTTACTCACCAACTTTCACTTGTTATTACTGAGGGAGGCATTGCTCCTGGGGTCAGGCATGTGCCCACAGCTAAGAAAGACTTCAGCCAGAGTCACAATGCTAGAAGTAAGAAGCCTCCCGTAGGCCCTGAAAGAGTGAGTGCGGAGAGAAGATGGGCAGGGCTCTGGCATCCTCTCTTAGCCAGAAGAAGAAAGCCTAGACCCTGAGGGAATTTTCTGCAATATACAACATTACCTTTTTAGTATTACAGATTTCATCTGTCCCAGAGCACATGCAGCAGTAAATGAGAAGTCAAGAGGTAATTTTACATTCTAGTTTAGGGTGAGGTAGAGGTACCAAAAGGTGATACAGGGACCGTTTGATCCACTGTGGAAGTTTTTTCCCCATCAAACAATAATAGCCAAATATGACTATGACTTGCTCATGATCTTCAAAGCCTTATTGTGTTTGGATTCACATAACGGAGAATTTCTTGCCAAATGTTAATCAAGCTGTTTTTAAAGGACTCAATAAATGATTAGCTTATGGTTTTCCAAGCCAACACAAATGCCTTTGTCAACTAACTCTGGCAAAATTTTTTCCCTGTAAAGTGTAGACTATAGTACTTGAATGATTACAAAACACTTAAAGGTCAGACCAGTATCCAAATCCTTAACTGTACATGATTAAAGAATGGTTAAGTGTACATTTAAGACTCTGTGACTTAAGGAGAATGTTGACATTTACATTCATAAAACTAAGTTTTTATATTCTATTTTTCTTTTCTCTCTTCTATACACTGAGCTTTTAGAGTAAAAACTTTTCTCCTCATGCCAAAATTAAGTCAGTAATTTCCCTTAAACTGTTTTTTGGCACCGTTAAAAATACTTAGCTTTTAGAATTATCTGTATCAATCAAGATAACTCATAAGGGTAAGATTTGGAGTCACTAATAGTAGACCAGCTGTTTCTTGCTTCAGCAAGACTGAACTTTAGCATCAGGGACACACAGGAAGATGATGCTACCTCCTTTGTCATGCCTAAGACTTTATCTAGGTTTTACTTGAGGTTTTACATGTCACAGATTTTCCCTGAGATTTTGCATGTTATGAATTTTAAAATGCCTTGAAATGTTGCACATTATTGGATTTTCTAAGTGCAACAGCTCCAGCTTTACATAAGAAGTGTACTTCAGCCAGACTTTTGATATTTTAAATCATTTATTTATTAAACATTTATTGAGTACCTACTAAGTGCCAAATAATATGGGAAGCATTAAGGATATAAGAAACACGAGAGATTTGGTCTTTCGCAAATGCCTCATGTTAGCTACACAGTATCTGCTTTTAGTCACAGCACTCTTCCAAATATCCCATGCCAGAGCTTTGGGGTCATTCCAAGACTGGTTTGGGAGGAAAGACAGAGTCAGACTCTGACTATTCTTTCTTCATTTAAAAGTTTGGCTAGCTATTAGTCACTGTTTTGTAAAGCATCCTTATACCTTTCAACTCTCCAATTCCTTGAAAATTTAGGGCTGCTTTGGAGATTTTGTCTTAAAATTTTGAAAAATGTAAACGTAATACCCTTCTGCTGAAAGTAGAAAGGTATTTTTAGGATAACAAAATCATTCTCCATAAAAACAAAAACACTAACTGCACTTCTTAAAGTCACCTACCTGTAGGAATGATGTGACTTCTCTGGGAAAAGTTTCCCCAAACTGTAAAGCCTAAGACATGAAGAAGATGTCAGGAACTCCACATGGGAACCAACCCCCATATCTTCCTAGATAGCAGCATGCCTGAGTGACAGGTCTTTCCTTAAGGAGTCTTTACAGAATGGAACATGTCCAGGGGAAAAGGGAGAGTGCAGCGCTCTTAAGTCATTCTTTTCTGCTAATGGTTTTCTACTCCACAGAAATGAGGTACTTCACTGGAATCAGAACACTGAATAAAACTGGGCTCCACATTAGCTGAATTAGTTTTTATTCATTAAGTTTATTGGTACATTTTAGGTATGTAGTATGATTACATTCATTGTTGGGAATTTGTACCTTTACATATATGTCTTCTTCCCCCCATTTCCCTGACCTCCCTTCAACCCCCTACCCTTCCCTATTTACAAAGATTTTGTTTCTCTCTTTTCCTTTTCTCATATTTTTCCTTTCCCTTACCCCATTCAGTTCCCCTTGCCCTTAGACCTTTTCTTCCTATTTCACATTATTTATTATACATTTTGATCCTTATTTACACTTTCAGTTTCTCACACCAGAGAAACTATTTGGTATTTACACGTGTGTCCTATTTATTTCACTTAGGAGTATGGCTTCAGTGCACATCCATTTAGCTATAAATGTCTCTCATTATTTATGGCTGAGTAGTACTCCATTTCCACATTAACTGAATTATTGCCATCTGTTCTATTTGCTGTTCTAGGATATCCTTAAACACAGTCACCATTGTCCTCACTGATGGCCACTTGTGCTTAGCATTTTATCAGGATCTTCCTATTTTTCCTCACACATCACAGTGAAGATAAATAGATACTGGAGCTCCCTGTGATGGGGGAGAAGGTAAGACTGGGATAAGTTAAGTGGGTTAGCAAAGTTCATCTGTAACTTGAACCTAGGTCTGTTTGAGTAAAACTAAGCCAACTCCTACTTCAAATAACAGCAATCAATAAAAACAGGAAGGTCAGGAAGGGAGAAAAAACTATTTTGGTCAACATTTAATCACTGTAGAAAAATCACAAGTTCATGATACCTATAGAAATATAAATAGAAGCATAGAAAATCTATTATACTTATTTCTGGGAACTAGGGGGTGAACATTCATTTATTTCAAACACATACTCATTAATCTAGACTGCTTTAATTTATTTGGAGGGAATACAGCTAAGGATCCCATAATTTGGAGGAATTCTGGGTGGGATATTAATGGAGAAACTGCTTTTTATTCATTTTTAAGACCAGAATGTTCATGGGGCTGTGTAATATCCTGCATGCTCTGGGTAATGTTCTAATTTCTACTCATAATTCTTGCAGGCTGACCTTTATTTGGGTGAATTGATTAGCTGCTCTTAGTACTGTGTGCAAATAAATAAATTAATACATAAAGATTTTCTGCATTAACATCCCCAAAATTAAAACTTCCTGAAATTTAGACTATCTGAAGGTAATGGGAAAAAATAAATCATTATTATATGTTTAACAATGATACTTTTGTAGAATTATTTCACAACGGTTAGCAAAACTGAAAGATTTTTTGCTACCGAAAAAAAAGTTCACTCCTAGTGACTCCTTAGTGCCTTATCAATACCATAAAAAGAGTTCACATAGCTCAACAGGTAAAACATACCAAACTTCTGAGTGGAAGGAGACTTTTTATTCCAAGTTCTTTCTAATATTTTGGAATAAAATGAAGGAAGAGGAAGAAACTGACAACATTTATAAGGACAAGAATTTTGAGGTTGTGTATTTAAAACCATTTACTTGGAAGTTTCCGTGTTTTAGATATGTGACCTCTTCTAAAAACACTCGACAATAAATTTAATGATGTAATTCAAAATGTCATACTTGAAAATTTTGTATGTAAAAAGGATTCATTTTTAGCTCCTTTAAGGTGTAGGGAAGGTGTGATACGTAGGGGAAGAACAAAAAGGGAAAAGAAAAAAAATGTGAGAGAATGAAAAGATGAAAATAAAGTGTTTGTAGATGGGGAGGGGATAATAAAATGAAGGAAGAGGAAGAAACTGACAACATTTATAAGGACAAGAATTTTGAGGTTGTGTATTTAAAACCATTTACTTGGAAGTTTCCGTGTTTTAGATATGTGACCTCTTCTAAAAACACTCGACAATAAATTTAATGATGTAATTCAAAATGTCATACTTGAAAATTTTGTATGTAAAAAGGATTCATTACACCTTTAGCCCTTTTCTTCCTATTTCACATGGTCAATTATCTCATTAGGATCTTATGTACTATTATAGTTTTTCACACCAATGCAATGTAATTGCGCTGTATACCTAAAATGTACCAATAAACTCAATAAAATTAAAAAAAATAAAAAGTATTCATTAAATAGATACTTCTTTTTAAAAGACTGCTGCCTTCTATTGCAAAAGAAATTCTTAACAAGCCTGGGATTTAGCTCAGTGGTGCTGCCTCCTGCCTGGCAAGCGCAAGGTCCAGAGTTTGACCCCTGGTGTTGGAGGGGGGTGTCCTAACAAAGGAGTTCTGATATTCTTCCTACCTCCAGTCTTAGACTGTCCCCATTGGGAACATCCTGCCTCAACACCACTGCCGTTCTCCAGTGAGGGTCTAGCAAAGCCCCTTTAAACAGCCCCACAGGGTGAACTTCTAAAAGGAGGGAGAAATCTTTATCAAGAGAGGACACTGAAAAGAAAGTCACTTCCTCATGCTGAGATTCTCCCCTCTCCGACATGCTTCCTCCCCTCATCAAAACTATGAAATTCAGCCAGGTAGCTGAGCTCCTGCTAAAAAGAGAATGTAACTGGGAACTGATAAAAGATGCAATTTTTTCCGCTTTACTTTCCCCCTCAGACAATAATAAAAACTCAACCTCATCTTCACTAGATCTGTGCAAGGAATAGCTCAATAGTCCAGGCGGGTGTATCCAGGAATGGACGAGAATGCCTCGGGCTCACACCGTTCACCTCATTGATTGGTCCCCGCAGTGCCTGTGCCTGCCTCGTGCCAGCCCTCTGCTGGGTGTGGGGACACAGTGCTGGATGCTCCCGGGTGTGCGGTGGGGGACACAGAACCCAAGCAGAGACACACAAGAGAGGTACCGTCGTGCACTCTCGAGCAGAAGGATGCAAAACACTGAAAACCTTGCGAAGTGAGGTCGGCTGACTGACTGCCCCCGGGGTGAAACCCAGGAGGCGATTTTGAAATTCACTTCTTTCCCCCCCTGGCAGTCCTGCTCAGTTCCCTCTATACTGGCCCTGGACTTACCTCGGGAACCTTCCTTGCAGCCCAGCCCGCACTTCCCAGCCTCGGCCTGGGTAGAGCTCGAAGAAGCGCAGCTTGGGACCCCAGGCAACCTGGAAAGGACCAGAGGCGGCACCGCCTCTCGCCTGTCGGTGTCCCACTGGCGCGCAGAGGGAGCGTCCACACTGCTCCTGTTCCACACCCCTCCTCTTCGATATATAAACGCTAGTCTCTCCGCCCCGGTCCGACCCCTTCCCGCCTGGGCGGCCCCAGGCCCAGCGCATCTCCCTAGAGAGGGGCGCAGCCTTAGGGAGGTGACAAAGAGAGAGTGGGGGATTCTGGGGCTTTGACCATCTGCCAGGTTTTCTCCTTCGTGGAGTTCTCGTCTTCAGCTGCCGATCCCGGCAGGAAAGTGGGAGTGGGGAAACTGGGGCGCTTAGGGTCTCCCCTCTTGTGCTCCCACAGACTCGCAGGGCGCGTGCACAGAGGCGCACCAAGGCGGCAGCTCCGCTCCCCGTCTTTGGAGCTGCTGTCTGGTGGTGGTTTCGCCTGTGCCACCCAGTCTTTCTTGAGGAAGGCAGGGTCTAGCTGGAGAGCATCTTTTGGTGGTGGGAACTTACTGCTTTTGCCTAGCAGGACAGGCACCAGCAGGAGATCGGGCGTGGATGGCAAGGGGGCTGCTCTGAAACAGTCCCAAGAAAGTGTCCTCTAGCCTGTCTATTCCCTATCTGTCCAGTCACTCATTTATCCGTTTAGTGATTAGTGTGCACTCTTATTAGAAACAAAAAAAACAAAC